ATATAATTATATATAAAATATTTTTCCCCATGTAATAAACATTTATCACAAATATTCTGTATACTGTCTGAGAAATGACGCTAAAATATCAAAATTAACATCGAAATTAAAGTTCAATGTTCAATGTTCAGAAATAAAATATATTTGTTTAGTGCCATTCTCTCCATTTTGGGATCACATTCTGCCTTTCTGGAAGTCGAGAGATCAAGCTAACATATTATTTTTCACGTATGAAGAAATGAAACGGGTAAAACAATTAATTTTGGAATAAATCTTCGTTTGATTTCTCTTGTTGTGAATTATGCGTTATACTTTGCAGGATCAGGTGGCAGCGATTAACAAGACAGCAAAATTTTTAGGCAAAAACGTGACGGACGAGCAAGTTGCTGGATTATGCGAACATCTGAAATTTTCTAAAATGGCAGCGAATCCTTCGGTGAACATACAATTGCTACTAGACAAAGAGGAGACAAAAACCGATCCGAATTTCAAATTTATCAGGAAGGGTGAAATCGGCGATTGGATGAATTACATGTCAAAGGACCTCGCTCGACGATTCAACAAATGGATGGAGGAACATTTACGCGGGACAGGCTTAAAATTGGATATAGATGTTAAATCAGACGAAGATTAAGGAGCTTCGTGTTCTTCACATAAAACAGCCATGATTATTGTTTTAGATTTACATTACAATTACGCATAATTATTACATTACAATTTACTTATTGTGAGCATTTACCCGATTTACCATATCTAATAAGAGCAATTATGTAAAAGCACATCGCTAAATAAAATCACCATTCTCGGGAAAAAATGTTATATATATGGACATATTTTACATATTTATAATTATATATAATTGTACAATATATACAATATTTAAAAAAAAATTGAAAAGAATTTAAAAGAAATTGAGAAGAAAAAAAAAGAGCACTAGGAGTCAGGCGCAGAAGAAAATAATAAACCTATAAAGCGTAAAACTTCTTTATTCTACTAAGTGCGTTTTCATGTTTCGGCTGACTTTTGAGTCTTCCTCAGAGACAACACAAACTATGTAATATATATAATATATATAAACTGTGAATAAAAATTATCCTGTCATGGTGAGCACTCCTACATCGAGAATTTAAATGCCAAAGTTAAACCCAAAAAGAATGAAAGAAAAAGAAAATAAATAAAAATAAGGAATTATTGTAATATATCATAATGTTGTAGTAGTAAGGCATAAATATCGCAGAAATATCATTGTGATAAATTTTTTGCGGACATTTATTATTGTAGCGATATTTATACTAATAATATTACTGCAATATTAGTACAGTACAGAGAAATATTATCGCAATATTGCAAAATATTAGCATAGAAATATTGCTTAATATTATTGCTTAATATTATACAGTATTATTACAAAAATATCGCAAAAATATTATTGCAATGAATTTGCCGCGGACATTTAATATTGCAGCGATAATATACAATATTACTGACAATATTATTTACCATGCAATATTACAGTAAATTTATAATATTGCTGCAAGATTACTATAATATTACATGCCATGTGGGACATAAGCAATATATTGAGTTAACACCATCAATTCAAGTCCCAGCAAACGAGAATGGATTGAAATGAATTGAAATGGATTCAGATTTTCAGAAATATTGATTCACGAATGTTAGAATGAATGCTTTTCAATCTTGAATGCATTTTTATTCGTTTATAAGAATTGCATGAAGCATATCTGCCTTTCAATATAAAAATAATATTAGCTTTTTTTATGCATACAACACAAATTGTGAATACTTCAATTCAAAATTTTGAATATAATTAATATTAATATTTTGAATATAATTTTGAATTCAATTAAATTAAAAAAAAGTATTCGCTATTTAAAATATTTTCGGATAAAAAAAAATTTCAATCCATTTTCTCGTTTGCTGGGGTGTTTTATGTCCTTATCTTAAAAGAAAAATTTTATTTTTTATTGAATTTGAAGTATTCTTTATAGAAATTTTACCAAATAATGAACAAATAAAACAGATGTCTTATTAAAGTCATCATTTTTGTTTTGATTTGTATCAAAATTACCAATCAAACCAAATCTAAAAGATTATAAATTTGTATTAAAAAGTATTATAAATTTGTTTACGTCGCATTCTCCAAAATAGCGACCTCTTATCATAGCTCCTACTCACTCCAATGCGTTTGTTGGAGTAAGGAGGAACTATGATAGGAGCATGGTGAAAGACGTCCATGGATAAAAGCATGTTGGAGAATGCGACATAAACAAACCTTATGATACGCAGCCAAATATTTATATTAATATAATAGCAAATTTATATTAATTGTCGATAATGTCAGCGTTCTTCAATTACCTGCGGAGCCATGGGGCCTCTTTTATACTGTCCTTTTGTACAGCCGTAATATTTTCACATTACATATTATTATTATTATTCTATTACTCTAAAAAGTAATTTTACAAAAGAAAAAGAGATGTATGAACATGTATGGACATATTTCGTATATTATTATACATGTTTATAAATATTTATGTATGTTTATACATATTTATACATATTCATACTTGAAAAATTTTTTACTGGAAAGTTCTCATGATTTGTTTTACTGACAAGTGTACCGGTTTACACTGCATCTCGATTTTATATTTAAAACCATATTATGAAAAAAAAATAATAATATAAATTACTAAGAAATAAAATAATATAAATAAAATTGATTTAAAAAATTGCAAGCATTATAATGATTTAATATTATTAATAATATAGTCACTATTATTTAAATTACGCAATTTGCAAAAGAAAATCACAAGAATTTTATTTTCTCATTCATAGAATTCGTTTTTAACTAATTTCATATAAAAACAAGCCACAAATATACGAATATGCGTTTACATTTTTTTTAATTAATAGATTATGTTTTTATTAGTATTAATAAAGTGCAATAGTTAATTTCTGAAAAATAAAGGGATGTCGCTTTAGGAGGCTTATGTCAGTATCGGCGACTTTTTTCTAATTCACAATTCGCTTTTACACATATACGCATTCATATTTCTACATACGTATTTATCTGCATTCCAATGTCATTTTCTTTAAATTATATTAATATATTACAGATATCCCTGGTGAAAAATTTTCTTATATATTCCAATTCGTAATTAATTATAATTTTTATACGAATTGGAACATTTTTCAGAAATATTCTGAAATATTTGAAAAATTTACAACTTCTCTCAGAATTTTTTATACATATTAATTTTAAAATATTTTGAGATTTCTCATTCCATAATTTTTAAAAAATATTTTTTAATTTTTTAGATTTTATAACAATAATAGAATGTTCTATTGTGTTCACATAATAGAATGTTAATAAAAATGGTAAATAAATGGATTTATTTTTATGAAAATGATAACAATAACCCATCCATTGAATAATTTAAAATTTTTTAAATCAGCCTCTTTTGCATTTTTTTTGTACGACTAATGGTTTCGATGATATAATAATTTGAATGTTCATAGCGACATTTTTTTACAACTTATAAGCGTTAATAACTTCATAAAATAACTTCATAAGTTTATTACAGTTTTTTTAAGATTAAATTTTGGAAATTTGGGGGAATTATTAATATTTCAGATTGTGTTGAAAATCCGACAATCATATCGGCACGTAATTATAATTTCTGAAATTAATTTATTTAAATGAATATAATTCAACATCTTAACATTCAGACTGTAGTGGTGCTTCGTATTTAAAATAATGTTTATAAAAAAAATCTCGAATTTTTTTTTCGTGAAATACATCCTAGATATTATATATATATTATTCTATTATTATATAATGAAATAAAAGAGTAATTAGAAATAATATTATTTACATCTTTGTAATTTATATATTTTTACGCTGCGTTTAGAACCATTACCCGAGTGTCTGTATGTATCATTTTTCTTGTTGTTTACATATTAAACAAGCATAGATTTTTATAATTAAAATGAGAAAATAATCATATTCGTGTATTCGTAGATATGAATGTGCATATATTTTTCAGCCTAATTTATGTTATTTATTCATTCAGATCATGTCGTCATGTTTTTCGCAAATCTTGTTTCCTTTTGCTGTATCTTGTTTCTGCACTTTATATACTTTTACTGTATCTTTTTTATACCTTTTCTGCACTTTTTTCGTACTCTTTTACACGTTTTCTATATGTTTTCTATACTTTTTTTGCACGTTTTCTATACGTTTTCTGTACTAATTTTTTTTCGTATCTTTTCCACAACAATCCTGCATTTCTTACATATCTCTTCGCATCTCTTCTCATCATTTCCTCAACTTTCTCTCTCTTTCTCCGATCATTTCTTCCCACTTCTACACATCTTTTGTATCTCTTACACCTCTTCGCATCGTTTCCGCACATCTTCCGCAATTCTCCTACACCTCTTTTGCACCTTTTCGATACCTTTATTGAAAAAAACCATGTCATGTCGTTACATGAATTATTTCAAATCAATATGATTTTTTTTTTAATAATTTGAAAAGTTACATGATATATTCTTTTTTCTTCTATTTCTATCATTCAATTCTTTAAAATTCGATAACTATAAAATCACATGATAGATGAAATTAATATCATATCATGTCATTTTTCAAATTATGTCATTTAAAAAATCACGTACTAACTTGGAACAATCCGTTACGTGATTTACACGTTTTAATTACATGATTTCATTATACAACTATGTGATTTTTTTTTCAGGACTACTTTCGCATCATTTCCGTACTTCTTCGGCATTTCGTACGTCTTCTGCACTTCTTCCGCATCTTTCACGCATCTCATCTGCGTATATTATTTATTTACATATCTAATTTTTATATTTATTTACATATCTATGTTATCTGTCGACTTTTCGATGTTATCTACCCATCCGATGTTATACATTTATCTACGTTATTTATTTAGCTATTTATGGTATTTATTATCTACCTATGTCATATCTATTTAGTCGTCCATGTTATCTATTCACACACTTTTCTATTTATCTTTCTCACACTTTTCCACATCCTTTCTACACTCATATTTCTTCTATATGTACATAACAAATACGGAAAAGTTGCATTAAACATGTTGTCATGTTCAAAACATATGCGGTAGCATTTCGCGTTAATTACCGTCCATTATCATTAAAGAGCGAGTCACAGTGAGACAAATATTGTACTTACTTACTAAAACGACATTATATATAACAGGGGAAATTTTCCCTCTAATGCATGTTGTAATCAATACGAAAGCAAATATCCTATTTCATCGGGTTTGTGAAATTTTTGAGCAAAATCCCTCAAATTAGGTATTAGTTTCTGAGAATCAATACTATGAAAACACTCTGATGAAAATTTTTTTCAGAATTTTGCATATAATTTTTCAGAATTTCTATATAATTTTATAACTTTCTTATATTTTTTATACGAATTGGAATACTTCTCAGAAAATCTACATCTTTTCTCAGAATTTTCGATATATATTAATTATAAAATAAGATTTTTAAGATTGTTTAGAAATATAATTTCTGATGAACACAATAGAATGTTCCGTATACGAACCGCGCTGTCTAGAACTATTCCATTCGAAATTTCAAATATTTTTTGAAAAATATTACCAAATACATTACATTGTAATAAATTTTTTACGAAGACTCTAAAATGAAAATTATTTCTATACATATATCTCACTAATTTTAATTTTTCTACAAATCGCAATTTCTAGTGATATGTGCTTTCCAAAAGCATTTTTTATG